AAAACATTATGGCCAGATATATAATACCCAAATAAAGATGATCAAGTGGGATCTCAAGAATTTTGGATAATATTTGCCATAGACTTTATTAATGATATTTGATTTATTCATATGTTCATATTCTCCATATGCCAGTACAAGCAAATAAGTAAAACAGGGCACACAAAAACCAAATACAATAGCATGCAGGGGTCCAATTTGTACACATTCTATTATGGACTGAATTGTATCCCTCCAAAACTTTAATTTGTTAGAGGCTTGGTCCTCACTGTGACAATGTAAAGAGGAAAGGTGGGGCCTTGAAAAGGTGATTAGATTGTAGGGCCATGCCACAGTGAACAGATTAATAATGGTGGTCAGGGGCACGGTTCTGTGGGCTTTAAAAGAAGAGCACATGGGAGATTAGTTTCTCTCTCCTCTGCCATTTTGCAATGTGGTATCCTGCTGTCACTGTCACCACCACCAGGACTCTCACCGGATGTCTTCCCTGGACTTTGGACTTCCTAGCCTCCAAAACTGTAAGCAATAAATTTGTTTTGTAAATTACCCAGTTCCACGTATTTTGGACTTACTAGCCTACAATTGTGTATATATACCACATTTCCNCCTTATCCAGTCATCAGCTGAGGGATATTGAGGTTGGTTCCAACTCTTGACTGCTATAAATAAAGCTGAGATAAATATAGAGGTGTGGGTATCCCTTCGACATGATGCTTTCCATTCCTTTGGGTATATACCCAGCAGTGTGATTTCTGGATCATATGGTAGTTCTATCTTCAGCTGAGAAACTTCCGTACTGTTTTACATAATGATTGCACTAATTTATGGTTTCACCAACAGTGTTAGGAGGGTTTCCCTTTCTCCACATCCTCGCTAGCATTTGTTATTCTCTGTCCTTTTAATAATGGTCAAAAAAATTAAGATAAAATAAAATAAATTTTAAAAATAATAATGGCCAGTCTAACTGGGATGAGATGATATCCCAATGTGGCATTGACTTGCATTTCCCTGATGATTAGTGATGGTGAGCATTTTATCATGTCTGTTGGCCATT